TGAAGTAAGATAACACAATAGGAGAAAACAAGTTGGATAATTAGGAAGTGGCTGATGCAGAAGTGAGACTTTTTTCAGTGAGAGTTTCAGAAAAGCCAAGGGTGAGAGCAAGAGAGTTCTCTAAGTGTATCAAGGTGTTGAGCAAGGGTGTGAGAGAAACAGATTGTGAGGGTAGTGTTCTAAGGGGGTTTCCTTTGTAAACCAAAGTTGTAACCTATCTTCATTAGTGAATTTTTTCTCAAGGTGATCACCAAAGAGGATGTAGGCAATTTGCTGAACCTCTATAAACACTTGTGTCATTTGTGCTTGGTTAATTTCTGTGTGTTTGTGTAAGACTCATCCATCATTGAGTTCTTTGTCTAAAGTCCATCAACAACAAGATTTTAAAAGGGCAGTGAGTTAGTCATTAATTCACAATAACTATTAACTCAGACCACAAAACAAAATGACCAAATGGTCAATATGCATGCTCCAACTACTCTCAATATTTACTTCACAAGAATTTTCAAACCCTTTCTTTAAAGTTTGAATTTTATTGGCTATTGGTCGGGGCATAAAATAAACCATAAAATAATATAACCTCATTTTCATAGTGTTTAAGGAACAATGATGTCTTGTATGTCTTTGGTTCTGTGAATGAATTCTCTTTCTTGAAAAAAAAAAGAAAAAAGGAACTATGCAAATGTGTTGCAATTAAGAGGTTTTAATGAGGTAACTCTATACATGTCGGCACCACCGTGTATTCTTGTTTTTTTATTAATGAAATTCATAGCTTTCTTTATAAAAAGAAAAAATGATTAAAAATATATTTTTTGGACCAGCAACTTGTAAGATCCCACATCGACCAACGGAGAGGGGGTTGATGTGCTTTATATGTACATGCCAGCATCCATCTAGCACGAGGCCTTTTGGGAGCTCACTGGCTTCGGAGTCATGGGAACTCCGAAGTTAAGCGAGTTGGGGGCTAGAGAAATCCCAGGATGGGTGACCCACTGGGAAGTTGCTCGTGAGCTCCCAAAAACAAAACCGTGAGGGCAGATAGGGGGGCCCAAAGCGGACAATATCGTGCTACGGCGGAGCCGATCCCGGGATGTGACACAACTTTTGTTTTATTTTGAAGTTTTAATTGTACAAGATACTTACATTCGTATTAAAATGGATAACGACGCACATTATCATTTATGACTATTTATCTCCAATAAGTATAAAATAAAATAAAAAGAATTAATGTGAGCTTGCACTGCAGCCGCCGGCCCCCCCTCTGGGGTGGGTGGCTTTCCCCATCTTCCATCTTTCTCTCCTCATCTCCCTTTCTCCTTTCCTAGTTTTCTTCCCCTCTCCTCTTCTTTCCTCAGATTCGTTTGGATTTTAGGTCCTCTTGACCAGATCTATCTGGATCTTGTCTTTTATTTATTTATTTATTTGTGTTTTTTTTGTTGTAGGTACTTGGTGACTTTTGTTGTTCTTGGATGTGTCTTGCTGTCGCTGGGATGGCTGCGATGTGGTATTGTTGACTCAACTTTTTTCTTTGGTTTTCATTGTGTTTTTTAAGCAAGTACTGTAAGGCACCGTAGACGCCCTGATTTTGTTGCAGCTTTTGGTCCACTCTCATGGATTTTGCTCCAGTTCAGTGTTTGGAGTTGGAAAAGTGATTGTTGCTGGTTTGTGTGGGATCGGGTTTTGCATGTGCAAAATAAGAGGTTTAGCCATATTGGTGCTACGAGTCTCTTTGGTTTGTTGGAGAGGATGTGGTGCGGTGTCCTTATTTCTGTGTTTATTTTAGTCTAATAATTCTCAGAAACTCAATATAGGAGTTTGTTGATGTTTGTATTTAGTGTTCGACTTTTTGATGCAGATTTGTCGTTACTACCGTTGCACGGTGAATCTGTATTGTAGGTAGTACATGTGTTTTTGTCTACCGAATTGGAGGTTTTAGGTTTTTCTGACAGGGTAATGCTAGCAACCTTCTTTCTAACCTTCTCTTTTGGACCTTCTCCCTTCTTCTCATGACAAGTGTCACTTTCCTTACACTTAAAATAATGTCATTAATGCATGCTAGTTTTTGTTTTCCATGTTTATCCTTATTGAATGTATTAACTCTTTTAATAACAAGCTAGTTTTTTTACAACTTTCTTACGACCTTGTTAAAAATTAAATAAGAAAATAAAAACTGAAGTTTTTAAATTTTTTTTCCCCCAAGATTACGTATGTTTTGTTAAACACAAAATAATGATGATATCACTTTCATGATAACAATGTCACAAAACAAACTTTTTTTTTTAATAAAAAAAATGACTTTTTTTCTTATTTAATTTTTAACAATGTGCTAAGGAAATTGTATTAAAATTTGGATAATTTGAAGGAAATATAAAAGGCAATATATTTAGTAAGGGTAAACTTGGAAAACAAAAACTAACTTGTGTGATACATTAATGATATTGTTTTAAGTGTAAGGAAAGTAACACTTGTCATGAGGAGAAGGGAGAAGGTCCAAAAGATAAGGTTAGAGAGAAGGTTGCTAGCATTCCTCTTTCTGGCATGCGTAATCCTCTCTGGATCAAACCAATTTATTTTTGTATTTGGTAATTGGAGATGTTGTACTCATATTTGGCATTGCGGCTATTCTGTACTTTTTTCTGTGCTGTCAATAAAATTACTATCGCTTTTAATAAATAAAATAAAATAAAAAAATAAAAGAATTAATAATCTTAGTGTTGAACTTAAAAATATATTTTTTGGACCAGAAATTTTTTTTTTTTAACAAGTAAAATTCACAATTGGGTCGTTCTTATAATCGGAAACAGGTCCTG